CCTTTTAGCTCCCTTGTCTAATGGTTCTCAAGTGTCTTAGTGTCAGAGCATCCTCTATAGCTTGTTGGGCTTCCAGGGTCCATCTTATCCTCTTACAGGAAAAAGTATGAGGGAAGTTTAGCCTTTTTTCTCTTATGAGACTTGGAGACTATTAATGCCACCCTTAATTTGATTTACCCTCCTCACAGTTGATCAGATTCTCACGCAGTTGAGTGCTGCCTGTACCTAGAGGGATCCTCATCGATGCAAATCTAATGAATGAGTACATGAAAGCCAGGGCTAGATGGAGGAGAGGCGCCCAGTGGGAGCAGTTACCTGGATGGAGACTGAGTGTTGGAGCAGTGGACTCCAGGGTGCCAATGAACTCAACTTTAGTGAAACAGGTTTAATCTAATTTTCACATTTCTTGAGGATATCTCATTAAGCTCCCACTCTGCGCCATTAGCAACTTTCAAACACCAGGTAGTGCTCAGTAAGGTACCAACACGTGATGAAAAGAGCCCTGGCCTAAGAGGCAGGACTCTGTCCCCTCCTCGTGCCCCACCTCTCTCAGAGAAACCCCTTCCACCACCTGCCTTTCTCCCATCCTCAACCACGGGCCCCTGAGGCAGGGTCTGTGTTCTCTTATTCTTGTATCTCCACTATGTCTCCAGTGCCTATCACATTCGAATGCTTAAAAATGTTGCCTGAATGAAAGGAGAAAGGAAACGATCAGACATTCATGTCCCACCCATCTGAACTGTGTTCCAGGCCTGCTGTGAATTCACAACTGTCTCAGGAATAAATTAGCCATTAACTCAGGTGTGCAGGAAATATCACCTTTCTTTATTTTCAATAAATCAATTGAAATAAAGCTTGCTATTCCACTGAACTGGCAGGAAATTCAGTTTCAGTCGTTACAGGAGCTCCATCCTCTTGCCTAGAGTAGCAAAAGAATTGGGTAGGTTTTTGTGACTCCCCAAATATAGGGCAGGCCCTATAGCCTCCAATCCATTTTGATTACAGCGGATGAGTCAGTGGCCAGCTCACATGGTCCCTTGGAAGTGGCAGTTCTGCTACCCTTTGCCTGGTTGAAACCTCAGGACTCTGCCAGGACTGGAGGTCTGAGGGATAGCATCCCCTTTCTCTCTGAGCCCCCGCAATGCCGCTGCCTCCTGAGGAGGTCACCTCTGCAGAATACCGCCACTTCAGGGGAGTGATCCTGGCTGCTGAGGGAACTAGCTAGCCTCTGGGAATCTCTTGCCTGTCTTTCTTCAGAGCTCTCTTTGTCCCTAAAAACCCACTCACCTTGTCTCCATCCCACTCTAGAAACCAAAACCTCTCTTCAGTGAATTTAGACATTTGGTGAAAGCAGACATCAAACAAACAGGAAGAAAGGTTGTCTTATGTATGATTTTATTTCTAAAAAAAAAAAAAAAACCTGACAAAATTAGAAAAACTAAATTATATTGGGGGTATTCACTTAATGAATTTCCTTTATCACAAAGAACACAGTTACACAGTATTGAGAGTATCTTGGTGACTGTAACAAGGGCCCCCAGAACAGCAGCCCTGCCTGCCAGCGCCCTCTGGAACACTGTCTTTGTTTAGGGCAACATGGTTTTTTTTTTNGAGGGCAGTGTCACTGGCCCTCATATGTGGGATCTGAACCGGGGCCCTCTGGCGTCCCAAGCCAGTTCTTAACCATCGCGCCACTCGGCTGGCCCACGTTTTGTTTCTTTTCAGTGCTGTGCTATCAAATTTAAAACAAGGAAGCTCTTTATTGTCGTCGATTTAAATATAGCCCCTCTCTTTGTATACTCAGCATCCCATTAATATCACACAGCAACTCATCCTGCACTGTGTGCTTTACCATAGAAAACCCTTTATTTTCCCTCCTGATACACACACACAATAGGCAGTGATCACCTGCAAGACACCCCCCAAGTTTACTGGATCAAAACCCAAAGATTCTTAGTAGGAAGAAAAGCACAATAGCACACATTCCCTGTATGTGCATGAGACCTTCAATTCACTAAGGAAGTAGCAATTCGAAATGCACCCTTAATGCTCCTGGGATGAACAGGGGTACGGATAAGATAGGCTGTGTGTTCTGTCTGCCCCCACCCCTTTCTCTTCTGCTTTACAAAGCATATTAAAATGCAAATGAGAGATAGAGAGAGATGTTACCTTACATTTGGGCTTATTTATTGAAAAAAATGAACCGTTCTCAAACTTTGATGCTTCAATTACTCTTAGTAAGCACTGCATTAAGGAGCCGGTCAGCTGGGTGGCTGCCAGGGCAGCACTCTGTAAAGGCAACTAGAACCTTACTGGCAAAAGAGGGGAAGAGAGGGAATTGAAATTCCCTGAAGCCTTCTGGGAGGAGAAGTGTTCACTTCCTCAGGCTGAACTTCAAGAATTTCTTTACCTCACATCTGGTCTTAACTTCCTTCAAAATACATTGCAAATACATTGATCGTTCCCCACCGTCTCTACTGGTACCCCCCTATCACAAACCTCATCATCTATCTCTTGGATTCATGTGCTGCTTCCTAATTTCTTCCACTTTTCCCCCTTTCATAGTTCATTTTCCACCCAGCAGTTTAGAGCCATCTCTTAAAAGCAGAAGATTGTCAATTCCCTGCTCCAACCTTCCAAATGGCTTCCAATTAAACTTAGAAAAAACATCCCAAGTTCTTACCATGGTCTCCCAGGCCCCCGGTGGCCCATACCCTCTCCCCCTCTGCCCTTACCCCACGTCTTCAGCACCTCTGGCCCACCTGCTCTTCCCAGAGCAGGCCAGTATGCTTCGCTCTGGGATGGCTTTTGGCCCATGCGCATTCCTTCACTTTATCCTATCTTGGTTCAAATGTCATCCTTGAAGAGGTCATTTCAGGCTACACAATCTAAATATCTCTCTTCGTA